ATAGTTATGTTGTCAGACTGTTAATCTCGACAGTTTATAACCTTGATATAATGGTATATAGGCATACCTTTGCATGTTTCTTGTGCTCGTTGTCGTTGGACATCACAAACAGAGTCCGAGGACGGCAACTCCAAAGCAAACCCTCCACAAGAAACATATGAATTGAGTTACAGGACCTCACCTCCACTATAAGCCTTTCAACTCCAACTAGTACCGAAGACATTGTTCTAGATTTGCTAAAATCCTTCAGGTTAAAGTTGAAATATAAGACCAAAAAAACAAAAGGAGACTGAACAAAACAATGTATGAATTATTATTATTATTAAACATGATTACAGAGAGAGAATTTGCATAAGTCTTTTGTTGACGCAGAAAAATGGTTCTGCACTTTCCCGAGTAACTTAGTGATTTCATTACCTTCGGTATGCTATGGCTTCGGTAGTAAGTTATACCTGTAAGATAGCAAACGCTCGGTAAGTCCTAGGTACCGGTGTGATATCGGCTGAAGGCTCTCCGATGCTTAAATAAGTACGAATTTAGTAAGTTTGAACTACAGATCAATAGGCAGTATGTCGTTAGTTCTGATTGATTACCTCCAAGCTGGGATAGTTGTCCTCTTTTATAGGCCTTGGGAGGTGTGCATTTTGTTTAGAGTTTCGATGTGGGACTGTGGACATTGATTGTGAGACTGCCACGTGTCCCAGATGCCAAGGTTGCCCTAATAGAGCGATCGGTAGATAAGATGCCGAAGCTAGATGTCGAAGGCTCCCATAGCTCCAGCTTGGTCCACGTGTCAAATGTTTATTGGCTGCTCATTTTGGTATAAACAGGAGTCCCCAAAGTCCTCTTGCGAGAATTCTCGGAAGGGAATTTGAAGTTGCCCTCCGAAGAGAACGTTTCCCTACCGTTCGGTAGACCCATTTAATGGAAGGGCTCAGCTCTGAGCCTTTCGTTCTCACCCGTTCAGAAGCTGACGTTTGGGTAGTCAGAAGGTCGCGTCGAGAAGACAGGCGAAGGGACGTCTGAGCGCTTCGACTTCCACGCCTCGCGTGCCGTTCCCCATAGGATGAGTGACACGTGGCGGAAGCAATGATGGCGCACGGCGCATTAATGCGTCGTTTGGTTTCTCGAGGTGTACCGTTGCGGACTCTCGTCCTATAAATAGGAGTGACCCTGGGAGGAGACTCACTTTGCACTTAGTGAAAAGCGAGAGCTCTGCTGAGGCGATTTCCGACGATAGCTTCCAGTATTCAAGGCGATTTTCCATGTTCGCGAACGGCAACCAGACGATTTCCGGCACCACAAACGGTAGGAAGGGCGATTTGTGTCTAGACGATCTGAAGCACAGTTTGTGCTCATTTTCCAGAAGCTAAACTAAGGTACCGTTCGGCATCTCCTTTTTCCCTTTGCATACCTTAAGAGTTACGTCCTTCCTTGGTTTGAACTAGACTGACCATAGGGTTCCGTTCGGTAGTCTAGTCGCCATAGGTAGTGATGTAGGGATCGGTAGGATAGCATCCGGTATGAGCCTTAGTTTCCTTTCTTCCCTGTTTTTGTAGATGTCCGATAGCGAGTCATTCTCCGAGCGTGAGCCCAACGCGTTTGATGAGGAGTCATCAGACGGTCTCTTTGACTCCGATGTTGAAGCGACAGGGCCTGATGCCGAGGATGGGAGTGATACCGATGTCGAAATACTCGGCGAAGGGCCCAGCTCTGCCCCGACACATGGCATCGGAAAGGGGCTAATGACCGCCCCGGTACCGTTGTCTATTATCTATAGCGACGGCCGCCATGTGGGTCTGGGCGCCCCTGGGGAGGCGAGGGCCAGTTGCCAGTCAGAGGCCTCCACTTCTGGTCGCGGAGAGCCAGCTGCCGAACCATCCCCCCGGCCGAGGGTTTCGGTAGTCTTCCCCAGCAACCCTAGGGTGCCGATGGCTGTTCCGAAGGAGCTAGTCTTCGGCGTAGATTACCTGGAGCCTAACAGGATCACTGAGAGGGAGATTGCGAGGTTTCGGGCTGAGTACCTTATCCCAGATTCGGTGGGCATGAGGATCCCAGGTCCTACCGAATCTCTAAGCAGTCCAAAAGATGGCGAAGTCGTCTCCTTCACGGACGTACTTCTGCAAGGGGTGAGGCTCCCTCTGCAGTCCGCTGTTCAGAGGATCTTGGCGCAGATAGGCTATGCTCCCGGCCAGTTCAATCCCAACTTCTGGGTAGCGCTAATGGGTGTGATCACAGCCTTCGGTATGGCTGGCGAGGGAGAGCCTTTGTACGAGCAGTTCTCCAATCTGTACATTATCACGAAGTCGAAGTCTGCTGATCATGGGGGCTGGGTTCAAGCTAACTGCTTGAAGGCTACCGAGCGTGGCCATTTTGTCAATGCCATACCAACCTCCCAGAAGACGTGGAGGAAACGGCGGGTGCTTTTGTCTGGTGACTGGGAGTCTCCCTCGGGACACCTTGTCCGTTTCCACATTCCCACCACATTCCAAATCGCCGGTAGGTCATCCTACCGTTCGGTAGGACTTCTTGATTGTGTCATCCTTTAGTGACATTAATTCCGTTTCCTTTGTACAGGTAAACTGAAGCAGCCGAGCGCCAATCAATCGGAGATCCGGCAGATCGAGAGGGTGAGGCTGAAGGTCCCTGCTGTGGAGAGGGTCTATTCGAAGTTTCTCTTCACCGCCAACCTCATCAAAGCCCAGCTCGTCAGCCCTGCCGAGAGTAAGCATACTTGACCATTTCGACAGTTTATGGTGTAAATGAGAAATCTGATCGGTTCCGTCTTGCAGTGACCGAAGAGAGGAAGACTGCCGAGGCAAAGAGGATGAACAAGTCCTCAAAGAGGCACCTCATGAAGAAGGGGCGGCAAGCCGGAATGGCACCTCCGCCTTCGGAAGGGGTGAACCCTGATGACCTAACCCTTAACGAGCGCCGTCGTCAGATGAATGCCGAATCGGCGCATGCCGAAGCGGCCGCTGCTGGTCCGTCTCCTGGCCGAGGTATGCCTGCCGAGGGCACCTCATCTAAAGCTGCTGGTAAAAGGCCAGTCACGGTAGACCTTGATGCCGACCCCGCTCTAAAACGCGGGCGACAAGCCGAGCCGTTCGGGCCATCTTCTCTGCTGAGGACGATGAGGCGCCTTCCGAAGCTGTCACCCTTGCCTGTCCTTCGAAGACAGTCCAGTTTGTGAACCACATGATCCTCGGTTCACAAATGGAGCTGTCAGAGATCGAGGACCTTCCGAAGAAGCTCCTTCGGGAGGAGGCTGGCCGTGCCTTCCGTCTTCAAGCTTCGATAAGTTCCTACCGTATTTAGCAATTTCTTGCCGTCTGCTTTTATTTTTGTCTAACGTTTTCCTGCTTGTGCTGTCCGGGCCTCAAGGGACAGTGGGCGGGCCGTCAAGCGAGCCATCAATGCCGCCGAAAAGGCGAAGAAGGCGTACGAAGACGGCAGAGCGAAGGTTGCCGAAGCTGTCAAAGCGATCCAAGCCCAGGCGAACTTGGCGAAGGACATGCAGGCTGCCGAACGGCAGGTCAAAGTTTATCAAGCCAAGCTCGGTGAGATGTCGGCAGCATTGGAGTTGACGCAACTATAGGCAAAGGAGGCTCGGGAATCGAAGGAGGCGATCCAAGTGGCAGGGCGGTACCGTCGGTCAACTGAGTTTTCTACTTTGCTTGACTCGGAAGTAGGCCGGGAGATGGCGGACTTAGTCTACCGCTTCAAACGGTACAACCCCGGGAAGAAGCTCAACCTCAATTTCATTGCCGATCCTCACCCCCTTCCTGAAGGCATAACCGAAGAAATGATTGAGGAGTACGAGGGGGAGGACGCCACAGAGGAGGTCCCAGCCGTTCCCGAAGGGGGTACTGCCGAAGGCGATGTGGATGCCGCCAAAGCCGATGAAGCTGCTGCCTGACAGAAAGTTTCGTACGCTCTGCAATGATACTCAAAGGTATAGTCCTATCTCGAACGGCAGAGCGGCGATCTTCTCCAGAAGCTTCTTCTCCAGTCCCGCTCCTCTCTTATGTAATTTAACGCCAATGGCATTTTTAATGTAACCTTGATGTAATCTTGATGCCGTGGACATCTTTTTAATGTAACCTTGATGTACTCTTGATGCCGTGGGCATCTTCTTAATCGAAAGTTTCATAATCAATTTTATATTTTATTTTCGAATTTTGAGGGCCCAAGTTAATTCAAGTTGATTTGCAATCGGTAAAACACTTAGGAAAATTCCTTCAAAAATGCCGAGGGCTAGATAGAAGTTGGAGAACAACGGTCGTGCTTGCCGAAGGCTAAGCGACGGCTAAGAATGCCGAAGGCTAATCAAAGCCCAAACTTGATTCTCAGGGTTGAAGTTGTCCTTCAGTCGGTAGGCTAATGTCAAGTTGTGTAGTTTTAATGCGACCGAAGGTCTCTACCGTATCCCTTTTTAAAAAAAAAAAACGAAAAGAGCTTAAAAGGGTACAACAAAGGTTCCGAACATATGGGCCGAAGGCCCTTTTCATTGATAAACTGCTGAAGGCAAAGATACAATATGGAGTGCGTTTTACAAAAAACCCGCCGTAGGCTAGGGAACGCTACACTGCCGAATGCCGTGAATACAGAGAAGCCGAGGGTTTTGGGACTCTATTGCAATCCTACCGTAGGCTAGGTGACTTCATTTAAAATAATATTTCAAATGCTCCATATTCCAAGGATGACCGAGGGTCTTTCCGTTGGAGAGTCGATGAGTCCCCGATCGCTGGATACCAATGATTTCGTATGGTCCCTCCCAGGATGGTCCGAGGGTTCCTTCCGTAGGATTCCTGGTTACCAGCGAGACTTTTCGCATGACCCAGTCTCCGATTCTGAAAGAGCGGGATCTGACCCTGGAGTCATAGTACCGAGAGATGCGTTGTTTGTAAGCCTCGTTCCGAAGGTTGGCTTGTGCTCGGCGTTCTTCGGAAGAAAAAGGCGAGCGCCTCCTCATTCGCTTTCGGTGTGAAAGCTTCCGTTCAGTAGGAAGGCTCTCCGATTTCCACTGGGACTACCGCTTCCGAGCCGAAAGCCATGGAGAACGGTGTTTCACTAGTTGCCATTCGGTAGGATGTCCGGATGGCCCATAACGCCTCTGGGAGTTTTTCCGGCCAGGCTCCCTTGGCTTTATCGAGCTGCCATTTCAATAGCTTCTTAACAATCTTATTCATTGCCTCGACCTGGCCGTTCGATTGGGGTGAGCTGGCGAAGCAAAGAACAGGTTGATCTTCAGTCGGACGCAGAACTCCCTGAAGACTTCCGAATCGAATTGCCTGCCGTTATCCGTGACAATGGCGTAGGGGATTCCGAATCGGCAAAAAATGTTCATCCAGACGAAATCCTCAATTCTGGCTGCCGTTATCGTTGCTAAGGCTTTGGCTTCTACCCATTTGGTGAAGTAATCCACGGCGACCACAACATATTTGACCTGACCCTTGCCTTCCGGCATCGGACCAATTAGATCTAATCCCCATTGGGTGAATGGCTATGGGCTTACAATCAGTGAAAGTGGCTCGGCATGGACATGAGGGACGCTGCCGAATCGTTGGCATTTGTCAAACTTCTTGACTAATATGTTAGCATCTTGGTGCAGAGTTGGCCAGAAATATCCCTGTCGGAAGACCTTATGTGCGAGTGATCGGGATCCCGAATGATCACTGCAGACTCCGCTGTGGACCTCCCGAAGGATGTAGTCCCCCAGTTCCTTGGTTAGGCACTTTAGATACGGCGTCGTATAGCCTCGTTTGTACAGAACATCGTTGATGACCGTGTATCTTGCCGATCGATAACGGAGTTTCCTGGCCTGGGACTTATCGGTAGGAAGGGTTCCGTTTGCCAGGAAAGCATAGATTGGAGACATCCATGTACCCTCGTACCGAACGGTACACACCTCAACAGCTGTCATGCTTGGTTGGGATAATATCTCCACCGGTACCTTCCTTTCGATCTTGTCATTTATTGCCGAAGCCAGACGCGAGAGTGCATCGGTGTGGCTGTTTTCTGACCTGGGGATCTGCCATATTTCGTAGGCCTGAAATTTTTTCAGTAGTTGGTGAGCTGCCGATAGGTAAGCTGACATAGAGGCATCCTTCGCCGCGAAGTCTGCCGTTATCTGGTTCACTATGAGCTGGGAGTCACTGTGGATGCTGATCTGTTTCGCTCATGCTTTGGGCTAGCCGAAGGCCGGCCAAGAGAGCCTCATATTCCGCCTCGTTATTGGATGTCCGGAAGTTGAATCGGAGGGCATACTCAATTTTGCCACCGTCCGGAGTTGTTAATACCAAGCCGGCACCGTAGCCTTGCTGGTTTACCGAGCCATCCACATGCAGAATCCAGAGAGGAACGGAAGTGTCGAAGTGCTCGGTGTCCGTTCTCTCTGGCGCAGTGAGGATAGCACTCGGAAAAGGGCGATTCCGATAGCGCATGTGTGAGTTCGGATATGAAGTCGGAGACGACCTGACCTTTTTCTGCAAGCCTTGGCTTGAACTGTATGTCAAACTCCCCCAACTTGATTGCCCATTTGACCAATCGGCCCGACATTTCTGGCTTTTGGAGTACCTGCCGAAGGGGCTGGTTTGTTAGAACAGTGATCTCGTGCGCCTGGAAGTATGGGCGAAGCCTTCGTGCCGAGACAACCAGGGCCAGTGCCAACTGCTCTAAGGGTGGATACCGAAGCTCCGCGCTTTGGAGTGCCTTGCTGACATAGAAAATCGGTAGCTTTGCCCTCTCCGGCCTCGTCCGTATCAGTACCGAGCTAACGGGAGTGTTTGATACCGAAAGGTATAGGAGTAGCACTTCTCCTGGGAGTGGTTTCGACAATAGCGGTGCCTGGCTCATGTAGTTTTTTAAGTTTTAAAATGCCTGGTCGCATTCGGGAGTCCACGCAATGTGATGTTTGCCCCCTTTCAAAGCTTTGAAGAACGGCACGCACTTGTCGGTGGCCTTAGAGATGAAGCGTGTCAGGGCGGCGACATGTCCGGTAAGGCTTTCAATGTCCTTCTGTGTCTTCGGCGTTTCCATGTCGATTATGGATTTGATTTTCTCAGGATTAGCCTCGATTCCCCTTTGGCTGATCATGAATCCGAGAAACTTACCGGAAGATACACCGAAAGCACACTTTGTCGGGTTCAGCCTCATTCGGTAGTCCTTCAGTATTCCGAACATGAGGGCCAAGTTTTCCAGATGCCACCCCCGCCGTTCGGCTTTTTACCAACAGTTCGTCGACATACACCTCCATAATGCCGCCGATGTGCTTGGCAAAATTCAGTCGATGAGCCGTTGATAAGTTGCTCCCGCGTTTTTCAAGCCGAAGGGCATGACGTTGTAACATTACAAACCGCGGTCAGTGATGAATGCCGTATGCTCTCTATCGGCAGGGTACATAAAGATCTGGTTGTATCCTGAGTAGGCGTCCATGAAGATCAGCAGCTCGTGTTCGGCGGTAGCGTCGACGAGCTGGTCGATTCTCGGCAAGGGGAAACTGTCCTTCGGACAAGCCTTGTTCAGGTCGGTATAATCCTGACACATCCGCCATCCTCCTTTGGCCTTCCGAACCATGACTGAGTTGGCAAGCCAGACAGGGTACGTAGCTTCCCTGATAAAGCCGATGGCTTTGAGCTTGTCAACTTCGGCACGCATCTCGTCGTACCGTTCGGCATCATATGAGCGGCGCTTCTGTCTGACCAGTTTGTGGGCGGTGGAGATGTTGAGCTTGTGGCTGATGACATCAGGTGATATGCCGGGCATATCGTTGTAAGACCAGGCGAAGACCTCCGCCTGTTGCCGTAAGAAGTCGATGAACTGGCTTCGGAGTTCGGGATCTAGGCTGGTGCCGATTTTTACCCATCGATCGGGAAAATCCACGTTCAGGACCACGGTTTCGAGCTCTTCGGCAGGCTGCGCTACCGGCGCTGGCGTTTCCTCCCTGGGGTCATCAATGGGCCCGCTACCGTTCGGTAGTTCCCGCACGGTCATGGCTTCCATTGGCGGTTTACAAGCTACCGATTTAAGGGCTGTGGCGAGGGCTGTGGCATAGCACGTCCGTGCGCTGAGCTGGTCACTCCGGATGACCCCAGTACCGTTGCGTGTAGGGCATTTCATCAGCAACATGTGGGGGGATAAGTGGGCTTTGATCCTGGTGAGTGTCGTGCGCCCTATGATGACGTTATACGCCGTTGGGGAGTCAACAATGAGGAACTGGTCGTAGGTCATCGTTTTCCTGGGGGCGAAGCCGAAGGCGATGGGCAGACTGATACTACCGACCGGTTGGACCAGATCCCCAAAAAAACTGAGGAGGGGCGTAATTTGCCGATTGACCATGATGTCGGCAATTCCCAGGCCTTTGAACGCATCGGCAAAAATTACGTTCACCGAACTCCCGGTGTCGATTAGCACGCGGCCTACATCGTAACCGGCGATTTCTGCCCGAATGATCATTGGGTCATCGTGGGGGTAAATGATCCATTCCTCCTCTTCTTCGCTGAATGTGATGGGCTCCCACCCCACCTTCGGGACTTTACAGCACCGATCGTCCTCTATACCGAAAACCTGGGGGTAGTGAGCAGCATGCACATACTGTTTCACTGAACAGTTGGAAGGGCCCGCCAGAGTGGGGCCTCCGCTGATGGTGCTGATCATGTTGATCTGCCGATTCGCGTTCGGTGCCGGGGCCTGTGGTGGCCTGGCGATGTAATGATCTAGCTATCCTTCCCGAATCAGGCACTCAACGATCTTCCTCAGACTAATGCAGTCTTCGGTGTTGTGGCTGTTCTGCTGGGGGTATCGGCAGAATTTGCCAGTGTCCCGATTGTCCTGTCGATTGGGCTTTCGGGTCGTCGGCTTTGGGATTTGGTCATGCTCGTTCATCAGAACTATCTCGTATGTTGTTTTCAGCAGGGTGAAGACTTCCTGGGCACGATCGCGATTCGGTAGTGGTGCTCGGTGGTCGTTACGACCGTATTTCCCGCGCCCTTTCTTCGAGTTTCCGTGACGACCGTCATGGTCGTCATTCCGTTTGTTCCCTGCCGAAGAGTCATTATTTCGGCCCGGATAACTCTTGGTCGTTGACTCCTCCTTCCGAGTCGTAGGCCCTGGTTTGGAGTTGAAATATTCGGCCTTCGCATGAACTGCCGCCTGCCTCATCAACTCGTCATACGTGCGCCAGTTACTACTGTGCACGAGGTATCTGAAATGAGAGGATCGAAGGCCACTCTTGAAGGCGTCGTAGGCTGTCCTATCGTCCGTTTCGGGACACCTCGAGTACTCGTAACTGAAGCGCGCCGCGTGCTCCCGTAGGGGTTCGTCTTCCCTTTGCCGAATCGTGTACAGATCATCGGCAGAGTACAGGCGGTCCGTTTGGATCATAAAGTGGTTGAGGAAAATCTGCTTCAGTTCGTCAAAGGAGTTTACCGTCCCTGGCTCGAGACGGTAGAACCAGTTCAGAGCAGCTTCGGTAAGGGATGATGGAAACAGTAAGCATTGCCCCTTGTCGCTGAGGCCCTTGCACCCTACTGCCGATTGGAATGAGTGAAGGTGCGTCAAAGGGTCCTCCACACAGGTATAAAATGGTATACGCAACGGCTGCACCTCCCTGTCTTCTCTGGACTTCTTGATGCGCTCGGTGAAGGGTCCTGGCCGAAGCTTTCCCCAATCAGGGACTTGGGACCGGGTTTGGTTGTCCTCCATCTTCTGGATTCTCTGGAAAAGCATACGGATAGCGGGGTCTCGGCTTGGGACCTCCTCGGAACTGAAGTCCTCGGAAGTTCTCCTCGGACTTGGTGGTTTTGCCTTCGAATACTCCGAGGGAGTTTCCGAACGGTAGCTTGATTAGATGCCCTTGGTGGGGACGTACTCATCGTCGGATTCCATTCCCGAATCCAAACCGTGGACCTTCATAAGGGGTGACTTATCTCCTAGGACCTTCATCCGCGAGTCCCGCAGGCGGGCATTAATCCGGATAGGGGACCTATGCCGTTCGGCATCCTTCTTGTCGTTGATCCGATGACGACAATCGGTGTACACCTTCTTCGGCACGTGAGGCTGGTCCTGTGGCGCTGGGACCACCAACTGTTTGGAAGGCGCAGGCGTTGCCCTTGCCCCCTTCTTTCCCTTCCTCTACCGACCGGGGGTCTGCAGACTCTGGGAAGATTCGGCGGCCTGAACGCTCTGTGTTTCCTTCTTGTTAAGCAGTCGCTGTGTTTCGTCTACTTTGGACGAGAGGAGATTATTATGTTCTTGGAGCTTAGCCATTTCCCTCCGAAGGGAGGTCATCTGAGCCAGAAGCTCTGCTTCGACCGTGGTCTGAAGCACTGGGGGATTACCGAAGGGGGTGCTAGGGTGCAGCGTGGGGCTTGCTCCACTTGGCATACCGTACGGTAATCCATCCTTTGATAGGAACTGTGGTCTTGAAGTGGTTCCCATTACGTTTTTTAGGAATTGTAGGTTGATTATTATCGAATTCCCACAGACGGCGCCAAACTGTTGACGCAGAAAAATGGTTCTGCATTTTCCTGCGTAACTTAGTGATTTTGTTGCCTTCGGTATGCTATGGCTTCGGTAGTAAGTTATACCTGTAAGATAGCAAACGCTCGGTAAGTCCTAGGTACCGGTGTGATACCGGCCGAAGGCTCTCCGATGCTTAAGTAAGTACGGATTTAGTAAGTTTGAACTACAGATCAATAGGCAGTATGCCATTAGTTCTGATTGATTACCTCCAAGCTGGGATGGTTGTCCTCTTTTATAGGCCTTGGGAGGTGTGCATTTTGTTTAGAGTTTCGATGTGGGACTGTGGACATTGATTGTGAGACTGCCACGTGTCCCAGATGCCAAGGTTGCCCTAATAGAGCGATCGGTAGATAAGATGCCGAAGCTAGATGCCGAAGGCTCCCATAGCTCCAGCCTGGTCCACGTGTCAAATGTTTATTGGCTGCTCATTTTGGTATAAACATCTTTTATTACCTTCCTTGACTGAGATGAAGCAACCGGGCTTTGTGGTAAAATTTTTGTCATGTCTAATTCAAACCTTATATTCAGATACACAGCTCCACTTGACTTTTTTAGCAGTTCCTTCAACTTTATGGACCAAAGAGAGCCGAAGCAAGTGTCCAAGAAGAGCTGAAACGTTAGGTGCCATGGACAAGGAGCATTTATGTTTATCAAAGTAGAAGGAAATTCTCTGCCATCGTACTCAAGCGAAAGTAAATTCGGGGTATCAATCTGAACCTCCAGAAGCTTGTTACACTTGTGGAGCTTCAACCTCCTTAGGTTGTGACTCGAAATCGTAAGCCTTCCTATCCATTTGCAGGCAATGTGTAATTCTGTAAGGAAGGGAAAACTAGAGAGGAGTTTATTGAAAGGCAACCGTGTGATGAGCTCAGCTTCAATGGAAAGTGTTTTAAGATGATGGCACATTCTTCCACATCGATGGTACATAGGTTCATACTCCGAGATGCAGAATCTATAGACAGACTTTGAAGGCTAGGTGCTTCAATGTGAATCCTCTCAAGTTGAGCAGCAGGAGGCAGCAACAGGACCACTTGCTTGAGCTTATCAAGCCCAAATATGTGCAAATTTTTGAATCCGGCACAACAGATGGGAATGATTTCCTCCATTAAAGGGCAGCTAGAGATGAGTTCCCTGTTTATCCACACGCAAAATGCGACATTTAGTGTCACTAGGGATGAGAAATTAGAGTAACAGTTTGTGGAATGGAAATCCTGTGTAAACACTAGATGCAAAGTAAGTCTTTTGAGATCATGGCATGCATCCATGTTAATGGTACATGGCTGGGTATAACCCCAGAGAGTAGAATCTATAAATAGAGTTTGAAGGCTTGGGGTTTCAGTGTGAACCCTTTCAAGATGATCATCCCTAGACACCTCCAGGATCAGTTCCTTCAGTTTATGAAGGCCAAATACATGCAAATTTTTGAACAATGGAGGAGAATGATTTCCTCCATTAAAGGGCAGCCAGAGATGAGTTCCCTTACTGTGTGATCATCCATTCGGACACAGGTAACCGAAAGCTTCCGGAGAAAATGGAAGTTTATGGTATCCTTAGAGTGATATGGCTGCTGAGGATCATGCAACTTGAAAACACAATTGCTTAACACATGTGTAATCAATGCCCTGGCACCAAAAATGGTTTGAGGCCTGCTGTACCAATGACGAAAATCATCTTTTCTACTAGTTAGCTTTATAATGTTGAATGAACCTTCTTAACCCCTTTTTTCATTGCCAAGTCAATCCATTTTTCAACAACAGACTCCAACTCAATATCAACCATGAGGTCCATGGACAGTACGAATTTCTGTAAGGCAAAGAGTTTGCCTACTGCAGAATCCAAATAAAGAGGCATCTACATATTCCATAAACTTGTTGTAAGTTCTAAAGTCTTCAGGATTAGCTTCCTCAAATGTTTGATTGCATAGAGTAGCATAATAATCTAGATCAAGACCTCTTATTCCGAAGTGAGATTGATTGAATTCGAAAATGGGGAAAGATGCATGAACATAGTGCCATCGCTTGGACAAGATACTAGTTCGATCAACATCTAGTTTCACGGGGAGAAAAGACAGGATATGACAGATGATAAAATCAGGCAAAGCTGAGATTCTGTCTGTGCCATCATCTATGGTGTGAAGCTTCATTCATTTGCAGGTTGAGCAATGACCTCAATAGGCCTCCTCCTCCTCCTGTATACAAATTAGGTAGCTAAAACACTTGATGAGATTGAATTGTCAAAGGGCAAGTAAATAATATATAACAGAATGTCAAAGGTTCATCCCTGGATAGACATGTCACACCTCCATAAATAGAAAATTTTAAACGTAGAGCCGCGCGGCTATACTCCACAAATATATCTTAACAGTATAGCCGTTCGGCTATACGCTATAAATATTTTAAAAGCATAGCCGCGCGGCTGGACTCCATAAATATAATATTTTCAGAGTATAGCCGGACTGAAGATATAGCCGGACTGAAGATATAGCCGCACGGCTATACTCTATAGCCATACTCTATAAATATTTTAACGGTATAGCCGCTTGGCTATAGGCCAAAGACAGAATATTTTAAAAGAAAATAAAAAACAAAGTTCACAAAATATTTAAATACTAATTATTCACTAAAGAAATAATAATTAGTAATTAAACTAATTCAAAAAGTCTAAGATATTACTTAATTGCACATATTAAATTAAAGAAGTTGGCTAAAAAACAAAAGTAAAGAAACTAATTATATATTTTTTTATATAAAAAATAGGGAGTTTCACTAAAACACCCAAAATGCGAGTTGAAATTATAAAAAAACCCAAGCACTATTTAAACATATAAACACACCCAAAACCCATTATTACACACACTCAAAATCCATTTATAAACACACCCAAAAAGTTGACTTTGGGGTTGATTTTGGGTGTGTTTCTATGTTTAAATAGTACTTGGGTTTTTTTTTATAAATACATGTCTAGAATTGGGTTTATTTATAAATTTGTATAAAAAGTAAGCAAAAACACCTCTCCGGACAAACTTTCGTTAAGCTCCTCATTAATCTTTGTTAAAAATAAGGGGCATTGCATCTGTTAGGTTGCCTATCACTCTACGTATTCTTGTTTAGAATGGGACTTGAATATGCTGGACTTTGTCTCAAAAGTGGCTATGCAATCATTCGCTCCGAAGCTAAGTAAGTAAACAGCACCTGAAACAAATGCGTTCACCCTTACTTCACCCAGTTTCTCCCTCAGAAATTTCGTCGATCACGTTCTTGAAATTAATAATCTGACTTTTAACATCAATCACCTGTTAAAAGGATTTCAAATAAAAAACTTAGACTAGCTTTGATGGAAGAACAAGAGCTAGCATACATATGTTACATTTAGAACAAATTTGTAAGTGCAAGAAATCTGGCACATATATTAATGTCTTGGCAGAGATAATACATACCGATCGCTCCTGGTGAGTTTCAAACAGAGCACCAGCTCCTGCAGATGCAAAGTTGACTCCATACGGTACGGATATGCTAGACTAGAATTACCAACATCTGATCCACAACAAAAAAAAAAAACTCATCCAAAAAAACATAATGTAATGATGATACCCGCGTCCGAAAGTTTTATATCATCAGCCTCGGCAGAAAACTAGTCTTGTTTAAACAAGTTGTTCGTAAAGAGATATATACACATGGTTGTAACCGATGATAGGAAAAAATTCCTCATCTCCTCATGCCATGCAACCCATTATCTCACCGAGAGATATATATGTATTCATAACCACAACATTAAATTCAAATTCTCAAATGACGAATATTGCAAAGGCAAATTTGATAATTATAATCATTAAAATAGTTCTGTAACAGAAAAACTATTGAAATAGTGATTACACAAAAGAATGTCTCTTTATCATTTCAGTGTGCTACAAATTTGAATAAAACAAATAACAAATAAGAAATATTCATATCAACATAGAATTTAAATAAAATACAATAAATAGACAATTGAAACATAGTTTATGATTTAAGGCTTAGAGTTTAGTCCGTTCCCCTCTACATAACCAAGACACCAGCGAAAACCCCACTGGCAAGAGATCCGGCGACGGCCAACCTATTCGAAATGGCACCGCTAGGGGCCGGTGCAGGAGCATCTCCAGACGAAGAGGGAGAAATCTCTGGAGAGGCCACAGGGGAAGACGA